AATCCGTCGGCAGGGACATTATTCCTATTAATGTGTGCCATCTGTGTAACACCCATTCCAGTGAGAAATGCCTCCTGGGAGTGCCAAAAATTAGGAAATCTCCTTAAAGGTCCATTCAGCCAGGCATTCCTAAACAGCACCTATCAGCTCCAGCGAGAAATCCTAAGAATCAACAATACCCGAGTAATCCCATTGAGTTTAGTTTCTTAAGTGATGCCCTCAGCCGTCTAACCTCCTGGTTAAATCCTGCTAACATATTCATATGGGCCGTCCTAGCAGCAGGAGGCCTCCTTGCATTCTGCTTCTTTCACTGCTTTTACTCCATTATCCAAAGAATGGATGCACAGCAAGCTATGATAATCCACATCCAGCAGGCGTTTATAAAAAGGGAAGGGGGAAATGGGGGAAGAGCTCAAGAGACTTATCTCAGTGCTGTGGCCAGTGCAATGCTGTGAGCACACTCCAGCATACATGCTACCTTGGCACACCAGGAAGTGTCAACGCCCGCCTGACAAATCTCCAAGAGATTTGTAATGCTAACAAATGCTAACCTACTCTTAGCCCCGACCCTCATGCCCATTGGATAACATAGCAAGCGGGTCCCTGTTTCATTGGCTGCTTACCCCTTTATATACAGCTGTACTTCCTCAATAAACTTGGATCTGTGTCTCTGAACCTGGTCTCCGGAGTCATGCCTGCAAATGCCCCAGAGCGTTGGGCTCCGTCATCCTCACCCCTAAGGGGCCCCCTGTTCCAGAGAAGGAGACCTGACCTAGGGACTGGGGAAACTTGGTGCTCAAGGGCAGATTGTGGGGAATTGACAGGAATTGGTCCTAAAGGAACCTGTGGCTACTGTCACTAATCCTGGGACAGGCGTCCACAGCACGAGGCCAGCTGCTGACCAGGTCTCCTCTCCAGGCCCTCAGGCTCATTCAGGGATCTTACAGACCTACAAGAACTGCACAGGACGCCAACATGCAGTGCTCAGGCTTTATTGCAGACGCTGGCCAGCAAGGTGTCAGAGGGAGTGGTGTGAAAATGCCCAGACTGCGCTCACACTGGATGTGGGGCAGGACTCCTGCAGCTTCTAAGAAGTGTGTCCTTGAGCTCTGCCAGCTGGTTATGGTGACTTTTTTCAGGTGTTTCTTCATGTTGCCTGAGTTGTCCAGGGGTCAGAAGGCTGACTTGCTGTTTACTTTCCACGAACTTTCACTTCAGTGACTGTAGTAGTCTGGATAGTTCTCACATTCGTGGCTACGCCGAAGAGGAGTGCAGCTATGAGGGCAAGCAAGCGACCAAACACGACTCTCAAATACACCAGTGACATACCACCTGCCCTCACTGACCGCCTTCTTCTTGGAGGGGGTCCGCTGTCCACACTCCCTCCCGCACCATTGTTAATGCACAGGGGAGGGTCCCAGCCTACATGGCAATGGCAGTTCCTCTTATTGTTGCACACGCCCCTGTAGTTGCATTTCGAAGGGGGACAGTTGTAGTCGATGGCCGCCAGAGTAGCATTGCAGAAGCCCTGAAGACAAAACTTTCCACTGCCGCAGGGGGTACCAGGTCTCACAGCACCAACATCAGTTGTTTCTGTCGCACGGTGTGCACCCACGCCAAAACACAAGGACCCCCCTATGACTGAGTGATGGAAGCCCACATGTTCCTGCAACCGAGGCAGATGAGTGACGTTGACACACTGTAGGCGTCCACACATAACGTCAGCGTCCGCACAACGCTTTGGCTGGTATTCATCAGTAACTTTACAGTGTCCAAATCGGTGGCCCTTTTTATTTATGCTGTAGCAGATGTCTGGCGCGCTCAGTGCCCCCTCCCCAAAGATCTCCTTGCAGTGCATACTGCGGTCGGTACAATTGCCGTGGTAGCAGTAGCCGTCCTCAGTGCACGGGGTTCCATCTTGCAGATAAAAGTCACTGGGGCACCTCGTGTCCTTCCCCGTGCAGTACTCCGGAAGGTCACAGATGTTCTGGATCGGCCTGCAGAGTGTCCCTGCAGGCGAGTGGGTGCAGTTTGCACAGCACGTTTCTCCGTTACAGATGCTCCCAGGTGTGAAGCGGCAGTCACTTTCGCAGCATGTGTTGCTGTAACACTGCTTGAAGGTCCCACAGTCACACTGCTCTTTGTTTTCCACCACAGAGTTTCCACATCGAATGGATGTCAGGCTACTGTTTGAATACAAGTGTTCCCCTCTTTCTCTGAAGAGGCAGCGTTGTATATTATTATTAAGTACGTGTTGTGTGTGTGAAAAGGAGCAGTTACTGAATGAATCTGTCAACACAGGGTATCTGTACATGATGCAGGTGGTCCTTCTCTGGCAAATACAGTCCATCGTATCTAACAACAGACCAAAAGAGGTCCCTATATGGTTGGAGGCTATAATTGATAACAGTAAATAATGTCTGGATAGTTGACCTAGAAAGATCAGATTTGTTTTAGGTCCACACAGCGTGTATACAACTGGTTTAAAATTAACTTCATGGGGCCCATCTCTGTTCACAATTAAGGCTGGATATGTGTCATAATACCTATAAATTTTGTCAGCATAATTCTTAGCAAATGGACCTTGTGGCACAGCATAGTTGTTCATATCAGCTGGCTCTCCCTGATTGTAAATGACCATGAGGCCGATGTAGTACCTCATATTAAGACCTCTGAACATGGCGTCTATTATACTACCTATATGTACCAGGTATTGGGCACACACTGACACATTGTTGTACAGAGTATAAATGGAATGGGCACTCATGAGACAGCCTTTCATAGCTCCACTGTGGGATGCATAGATCTTACTGCTGATCCTGGAGGCTGCACTGGGTTTCGGGTCAGAGAACAGTGGGTACCTCTCAGCCTTCTGTCCCAGACTGGACATGGGTCCTATGGCGTGAGTGTCGGCTACAATCTGAGAAATGATGTGCTCAAACCTCTGGGAATCCTTGAGGGGTTTGATTTCATAGGCAAGGTCGTCCACCTTCATGATGCCTTCCAGGCCCCCATAGCACATGTCCACAGTGACCATGGAGAGAGGGACGTCCTCCAGGTAGCCCAAGTAGTAACAGTCGAGAGGGAAAAAAGGGTAGTCCACCTGCAAGGCCCCCTGGTCATCCTGAGTCTTAATCACCAGCTGTCCAGGCCAAAACAGTCTCTTGCGCCGCATGTGGAGTACGTGTCTCTGGCCCCCAAACCTCAGGCTGTAGGAAAGCCAGCTTGGGGCCCGCAAGCCTTTGCCATGGTGCAGCTCCTTCCTGTGAATCACCACCTCAGAGGAAGTGTAACGCCAGGAGGGACGACCTTGAGAACACTCGGCTAGAGTCAGCACCACACAGAGCCCAAACAGCAAGAAGGGCATCCTCAGGGTGACGGGGCCCCCTGCCAGCCTCAGGCCCTTGGTGGGAGAGAACCATTGATGGGAACGGAGAGAGGAAGGGTCCTCAGTGAAGCCTGGTCCCCACCATCTGCCGTGGCTACTTCCCACCAAGGGAATAGTGACAGGAAACCTACACTGGTTGGGTCAGCTAAGGCAACAATGAAAGGGTATGGCAGTGGGTGAGGCTGGACAGGCATTCAGCTGGGGTGGAGGTGGGGGAGGTGGGAACCCTGTCTGTGAATGTAGAGCCGGAAATAAGAGACAAGGAAGTAGACCCATGTCTCCATTGCATACATGTCAGGGTTCCCTCTAGCTACTTGCACACATGTTATGTAATTACAGCAAAGTTAAATTCCCTACTGTTGCCCTAACCAGTTTGGCCCAGTCCGATGCCTGCGGACTGAAGGGTCCCAGGTTCGATTCTGGTCAAGGGCATGTACCTGGGTTGCGGGCACATCTCCAGTAGGAGGTATGCAGGAGGCAGCTGGTCGATGTTTCTCACTCATTGTGTTGTGGACCAACATTTGCGAGAATAAGACCACCAGCTCCAATTAGGTCTTAAACAGCAAGCGAGGATTTATTGAGCTGGCCAGCGTCTGCCACAGGCTCCTCTGTAACAGCCCCGAGCTTTGTGCTCGGCGAGCTTTTATCCCCAGATAACACAAACGTCCTTGATTTGCAGTTACAGGGTCTAATCAGGACCTTGATACAGATGTCTGGGACTGTGAGACTTGGAGTTATGCCTGGTTACCTATCCTTGACCCCATCCTTGTTAAAATTTTTTACTGACATTCAATTCATCACACTCCCTACTGGTCTTAAGAGACAAATTCAGACCCTGGATTCGTCGCTAGTATCCACTAGCTGAGAGTACTGGGTGTGCAGGACCATGAGGTAGGACGCAGAGCCCTGGCTCAGACCCAGTCTGGAGGTTTAGGGAGAGTATGCAGGGGTGAGTCCGGTGGTGCATGCCCACCAGGTACCATTTGGGGCCACCAGGTACCAGGGGTTCCCGGACCCTGGTCTCTCCGGAAGTCAGAGTGTCTGGTTACAATTTTCTGCATGGGGGAATCGGGGAGGGAGTAATTGGCAGATGCGACACACAGCCCGGCTCCAGTAATATCTCCTAAAGTTAATCCCCTCCTCCCTTTTCCCCATGCACATAGTCCCAGGGTTTCTGCATCCTTGGACATGTTGCGGATGTGGGCCGCACTTGCTCAAAATGGATCCGAAGCTCCCATCCCAACATAATAGGGGGGCTCGGGGTTCACTTGGGCACACGGCTGGCATCTCCTAGCCACATCCTTGGCCATCCTCTGTAGTCCCGGAACGTAGTAATCCTTGCGAAGAAGCTCAGCCAGCTTGGTGCCTCCGAGATGGGTGCCCCTATGGGTCTGCTCTACCATGATTCTGCCCAGGCTTTCTAGGAGGAACAGACAATGGTCCGGGAGTTTCAGCCATCCTCCCCTGGTCACCTGGGCCCCTAGTCCTTTTGCTTGCTCTTCTTCCTTCTTGGTGTAGGTTGGGGTGTCAGGCAGCTGGTGGTCTGGGAGGGCCACTAAGACCTGTAGGGGCCCTACTGGTCTTTTGGCGGCTTCCTTTGCTGCTTGATCAGAGCAGGTTGATTGGCCAGGTCTGTTGTCTTCTTGAGGATGATCTGCAGCAGGTGTGTCTGGTCAGAGGTCACCTTGTACTGAGGCTGGGCGTCACTCGGCTGGTGGGCTGCTGCCACCCAGAGGCAAGTAGGTCACCTAAATACTCAGATGCAAAGGGGTCAAGTCTTTTGGACAAATAGTCTACCAACCTCTTCTAGGGGCTGAGACGTTAGGTGAGTACCTCTTTGGCTATGCCCCTTGTCTCACATACTTAGAGGTGGAAATACTTAGTTACATCTAGTAGCACTAGTTGGCCCATCGTCCTTACTCTGCTCATGTCTGTCTAACTGCCTAATATATTACCTCAAGGATCCTGGCCCTGAATTCTTTCAGGGAAAATGGGCGTTGACTTTTCTTCTGTAACTGCTTCGTGCTGAGGAGGGACGGAGTCTTCTCTCAGAGCCAAGAGATACTTGCTATCTGTCAGAGGGACAATGAGGCCTGGGCACAGAAGGAGGTGGGCTTGTGACCTGATGGAAAGAAAACATTTTAGTTAAAATACCTCTATTGAAATAGAGTTTTTCTCCTCAAAATTACCACTGTGTTTATAAAAAAAAAAACCAAAACACAAATTAAGACCAATTTATCTATTGTATTCAATTTGGCCTGATGTTTGCACAAGCACAACAAGAATGGTAACTGATTACCTTTGCCAGAATTTCATGATTGAATCTTCGTGTGCCCCGTAGGGCCAGGAAGCCAAGCAATCCAGCTGCCATTAGGCCTGCCTGCAGTATCTGCTGAGTTAGGTGATTCCCTCACCAGCAGCAACGCCATCTGGGCCTATGCCCTAGGCTTTAAGGCCCATCTCAGTAGCCCTCCTACGCATCACGGCCCAGAGTGCGTGGGGGTTCCTCAGGGACGCAGAGGCGTCCTTATTGCTCCCCTTCTACTCTGACCACCCACCAGTGATGGTAGGGCATGGGCCTGATGCTCCAGCACCAGCCATCTTCAGGGCTCCCAAGCAGGATACCAGGCTTTTCCCATGGCACTCTTATTGGCTTCAAGTCTTCAGAGCTCGGACAGGGCTCCTTAAAACATGATACTGCAGTCAAAGTTTTCAGTTAATTAAACCACTATTAGGAACCAGTCTTATTGAATATACGCAAAGAAATGTATTGCCATGATTTATTAAACATTGCCAAATTCCGGAGGAATTATATAAAGAGAAAAACATACTGACCTGCTCTACGATTTTCTGATTTTCCTTGCCAGTCCCTTTTCATGGACTCTTCAGAGTAATTGTCTTTAAATGGCAAGAAGAAATTTACAACGTGTCTATATTCAAAGAGACAGTCACTGCTGTCCCTGTAGTAGGGTTTCCCTTACTTGACTTGTTCTCTCGGAACGGACTAAGGGAGCTTTATTTCTTTACAGTGTCTTACATGTCACAGGACCTCACAGGGTCAGTAATTCCTGTAACAGAGGGCAAGTATTCACCACTTTACTAACCCCCTCTGTTCTAAACAGGACTTCCCCAGTTTCCTACAGTTGAGGTTTGTGCCACCCCTGACATGGGCATGGTCACATAGGCCTGCAAGAAAGTATACAGGCTGCAAACTGTCTCTGAATAGAGACCAAAACCTAATGGGTATTCTTCTTTGCCAGGTTGGGCACCTGGATTCTCAGCAGCTAGGCACCCTCTGCTTTTGGGGTTCACCCCACATAGCCTCCTTTTAGGACACCCACCACATAGCCATAACAATGGCCCTCAGTGTGGGAGACTGGACACATGCCAGTTACTCCCAAAGACTGCCAAGGACTGTAGACCATCACCAGTCTACAGCAAATGCTAGCACCTACAGCTATATTCAAACCTGTAAGATAATCAAAGGTTAACACAACATACTAATACAATGAAACATAATATTTGCACCATGGCCGCCTCAGACAGCTAAATCTTCTGCTACTAAACATGACATATGGTAGGGCTATACAAACATTTTAGGAGGTGACTAAAGTCTACTCTTGACCTTCCCCTATAAGGAAAAATTGTCCTTGTCTCTCTGGAGCCATGTCCATGAAGACGCAGGCACTAAGTCTATTACACAGCTTTCTGCGGGCTACTGTCAGGGCTGTGTATGTGGCCAGTTCTTCTTTCTAGCCACAAACACAGTCTGTCCAATTTCCTTAAAATGTATTCTGGCACAACAGAAAGTTGTTTTGCTGTACACAGGTAGCTTAACCCCTATACAGCTGGGCTTGGACCTCTGCCTAGCAAACTGCAGTTTACAAGTTCAATATGCAACCTTAAGTCCTCTTAACCCAATGAGGTTTTGGCCAGTTTCTGAGTCAGACTCCTCCTCTCTTGGAGAATTTCAAAGTCCTGATGGCTCCCAGGTCCAGGGAGAGTGCCCATTTGTTCAGCCTGTTTATTAGTTACAGGGCCCCACTATCCGTGTCTTCCCACCAGTCCCCTTTGTGGCAGAGCAGCGACCAGGCCTCTTCCAAGGGAGTGCACAGGAAGGGGATATCAGCCCCTCCTCTTCCATCAGCAACAGGTACTGAATACTTTCAGTACATTTGCAAACAGGGAGCTTCTGCTAGCTCTATCTGCAGCTTTCATAAATCCCAGGCTTGCTGCTCTATTCCTGGGGCTGTAGGAAGGCTAGTACCAGTCACTGGCTTCTGCCTTAACTGCTGTAGCCTGCAAGCCAAAGGCCCAAGTCTTGTATTGCTTGTTGTAAAACACTCATTACTCACTGGGCAGCAGCGGGGCAGCTCTAGTGTCAGGTAAATTTCTGCTGTCCCCCACTTTCTCGCTGCTGCTGCTGCTGCTGCTGCTGCTGCTGCTGCTGATTTTTTCAGGGCCACTGCAGGCAGCTTGGGCATCCAGCCCCCCTTCTTTGT